TTAGTACCTTTAACTGTACTGGTTTTTTATTGCTTTTTCTTGGCTGTGCCAGGTCTTAGTTGCAGCATGTGGGATCTAGTTCCCTGACCGGGGATTGAACCTGGCCCCCCTGCATTGGGAGTGCAGTCTTAGCCACTGGACCACCAGGGAAGTCCCTTTTATTCTTTTTCAAAGAGGCTGTGCATTTAATTTTGAACTGGGCTTTGAAAATTATATAGTGGTCCTGATTCTCAAAACTAGTAATATTTTTTTAAAGCATTTTTGCATTTTCCCCAATTGTCCTGACTCTGTGACAAGCCTTTCAGGCTTTTACAGACTTCCCTCCAGTCCAGTGAATGGCCATCATATGATGACTTTTTGAAAACCCACATCAGTGTGGAGGGCTGGTCATCTTGGAAGGCTGGCAGTCTCCACTGGGATGTCCCGTTCAGCCCTTTTGGGGACCCATCTTCTTGAGCCAAGACTTAAGTCTTTTGAATCACTCCCCCACACCCACCCCAGAGGGCAGATCTGAGTCCTTCGTTGTCCGTTTTCGAAGTCGTTTGGCAGGTAACATATGCAGTAGTGCTCTGGCCACTGTAGAGCGGAGGGAACACCTGAATAGACTCACGGACAGAAAGTGCGAACGGAGAACAGTGTTGCTGCTGCTGTTGAGTCGCTCAGTGTGCTCGACTCTTCGCGACCCCGGGGACTGCAGCCCGCCAGGCTTCCCTGACCTTCACCATCTCCCAGACTTTGCTCAAACTCATGTCCATTGAGTCGGTGAGGCTATCCAACCATCTCATCTTTTATAAATCTTCTTGAAGACTGAGGGGAAAGGCTGTTACAGTGAGGCCCAGGGCCTAGCCAAACCCAAAGGATTGGAGCCCAGGCCCCCTGTGTCTCAGGGATCTGCTTCAGGTTAAGGGTCATCTGCTCAGAGGGGCCCAGGTCTAAACTGCATCTTCTGACACTCAGCACTTCATGCAGTTGAGAGTTTTGCTTGCATGTTGGTTTAACATTTATCTCCCCTGCTGGAAGGCCACCTCTATGAGGGCAGGGACTGTCTACCTGGTTCAGTGTTGAGCTCCTAAGGCCAGTACAGAGTCTGGCACTTTATAGGATCTGTTTAAGTATTAAAACAGCTCAGGGCAGCTAACTTTAAAAACAATGTCCTGCAAACATGTGTGTACATAAGAGCATTGGAATGGTCTGGAAGGAATGAGGTCATGCTCCTAATCTTGGCTGCCTCTAGAATGGACCAGGCTACAGAGTGGCGATGGGGTGCATGTGCGTGTACACACGTCAAGTTGGCGGGTACTGGCTTCAACTGTAATGATTTTACTTTTTAACTAAACAATAATGAACAATAAAGCATGTTCCAGGTCAGGGGAGACAAAGGCGACGGGGAAATGCCAAGCCACACTCAGGAAGAACAAAGAAACACCGTGACACTCTGCAGTCCGCTGGTGGGTTTTGAGTCTTCACTTTATTACTATGTCACCAGAAGTCACCACCTTCACTTGGTTCACCACAAATGGACGGATGTCATAGAGGAGGGTGCCACGGGGCCAGGATTCACTCTTGAGAGACTTAACCAGGTGGTGGGGGAGTCCAGAGTGGGGGCCCAGGATGGGGACCGCCATTCACTGCGCACACGCACACACACACAGATATATTTGTGGAGCCTTATATTATACATCTTATATATAGAAAATATATATATTTATACTATACACAGGCAGTAACGCTGCGGGCAGGGCAGGGGCAGCCAGACAAGGGCTGTGGGCACCTGGGGATGGGGAGTGTCACATTGAGGGGCAGCGCCAGGAGATGGATGGACACATCCATCCTCCCACAAACTTGTTGGGAGGGGTGCTCCCCCTTTGTGCTCAGTAGAGAATCAAAGGGGTCTTGGGCCAAGATTAGGGGCTCCCGAGGGGTAGTACGGGGGGGTGGTCTTGGCTACATGGAGAAAGCCTGGGACCCCCAACAGTCTTTGAAGATCAAGAATCACCTGGGAACCTGGGAAGGTTGGAGTGGGGAGAAGATGCTGGGACCCTCGGAGCTAGCCCCAACAGTTGCACCCCCAAGTGTGGTAGGAGTGACACCCAGGCAGATGACCTGTGACTGCACAATCAGAGGCCGGAGACCTGGATCCGGAACTCTCTAGCTCTGTACTTAACCGTGGACAAGTCACTGTCTTCCTGGCCCAGACTTCGCCCCTGTAAGGGTCCTTGCAGCTCTAAACTCGTGTGGAACCCAGTTTTCCCTGGCCCTCTCTTGTATGCGATGGGAGGAGGGGGTCCAAACTCAGCAAGGTCAGACTGCAGGGGTGCCCTTCTCCAAGGAAGGGCTTGGAAGCAGGGGGAAGACAGCAGGGAGGGAGAGGGGGTACCACTGACCTGTCAGCACTGGCTCCAGGCTTGAGGCCTCCAGGGGATTGTCCTCAGCCAACAGAAGCAGCAAGACTTCCCCACCGACCACTCAGAAGGGGAGTCAGGAGCCCTGGGTCTCAATCGAATCCTGCGCTCCACATCTCTGGTCCTCTTTCTCACCCACCAGGGCACAGCCTGACCACAGATGGGGTCCTGCCTGGGCGGCACCCCCAGACTAGTGGGGAAGGCTGAGTGAAATGATTCAGCACCCCCATTTCTGGCAGGTCATCTGGTAAACCTTCCCATTCTGGGGTGGCAAGGAGATTCTGTAATAAATACCCAGTATCTTGCTCTCTCACCCAGCATCACCAGCAGCAGGTCGGTGCCCAGGGGAACAGATGGGCAGCACCATGGGGTCTCCTGGTACCCATCAGCAAGGGAGGGTTTTGGTAGGGAGGGGGCAAGGGGGAGGACTTCTTATAGCATCCTGCGTGGCCACCGAACTTCTCTCTACCAGAAGCACACCATGTCCACCTGCACCCTGACCTGCTTTGCAAACCTCTGGTCTAGTGCAGGCTCCACTGCTCAACGTGGAGGATACCAGAGTCCCACCCTGTCCCAACCTGGGCCGCCCTAGGGGAGCCCCCTTCCCAGATGTGGAAAGTTGAAGTCCGCAACAAGCAGCTGTCACCCGGCTGTCTGGGGTCCTCTCCCGTCACTGCTGCCCCTTGGGAGGATTTGATCAGACCTGATCCACACGCCACTGCTAACTCACTCACACACTGAGCCTGTTTCTCCTTCTGTTAAGCGGGGGCAATGATGCTGCTTCTCTGCCAAGAAAATCCCCAGTCCTTCCCTCACTGCCATGCTAACACCCACCCATCATCCAGGCCCCTCCGTGGGGCTGCATCCATACAGCTGTACTCACACAACACCTGGCCCCGGTCAGGGACCCTGGGTCCAGCGGGCAGTTTAACGCTCATCTCTGAGGGCAGTCAGGCCCTTGAGGGCAGGGACCCCACCCTCGGTTCCTGCCACAAACGCCCCATCACTGCTGCGCCAACAAGCAAGTGAGTGGATATGACCTGCCTCTTAGGGTTCTCATGGGGGCTGCTGGGCGGAACACCTAGCACTGTGCCAACCCACAATCCCATTGCCCTGCTCCCCGAGGCACTGGCGGGTGGACACTGTCCCCAGACTGTCTCCCCGCTTCAAGGCCTCCCCATCCTATAAGGCTCAGTGGGGAGCCTGCATCATACAAGAGTCCCTCCTCACACTCCCCGTGCCTCCGGGACACCTGCCACCCTCTCCCCTAGCCTGTGGCCTCCCCGGACTTCCATGCCCGAGGGGCTCTCACCACTCATCTTGGGGCAGCAGCTTCCAGGTGGAGGCTGTGCTGGGTCTAGAGCCCTGTCCTCCCGCAGGGGCCCAGTCACTTGGCAGGCCTTCTGGACGGCCTTGGCTTGGCCGTCCCCGCCCCTCGGCCCCCAGCTGATCCCGGATGAGGAAAAGATGACACAGTGTCCCAGATCAGTTCTGTTTCCTGGGAGGTCACAGGGGCAGGGAAGGGGGCACCTTCTGGGTGGCTGGATGAAGCAGCCCAGGTAGCAAGCCCAGCTCTGCCACTCACTCCCTGTGATCCTGGGCCAGGCACTCCCCCTCCAGGCCTCCTTGTCCACCCAGCCCCAGGCAGGGACTTAGCGCGCCACTCCTAGAGGCAGGGACACTGGTTGTTCCGTCGGGAGGCCGTGAAGGCCTGTTGGAGCTCCTGGGAGGATGCACACAGCTCGGAGCGGTACAGTGGAGCCAGGCCGGCCCACTCGGCTCTCTCGCCGGGGAAGGCGGCCAGGGCAGAGGCCGGCGGGATGTGGGGAGAGGGGCCTGGAGGCAGGGCTGTCCCACTGGGCGGAACAGCCAGGGCAGAGCAGGCCCCTGGCTTGCAGCAGAATCAGGGTGTCTCACGGGCTGAGGTCCCCAAGGCCTCCCAGAGGGACTGCAGCAGTGAGCGGCACAGCCCCGGGCTCGGGGATGGGAGAGGGTGGGGGCCCTGGGGGACAGCAGGCGCTCTGCAGCCGGGCAGCCTGTGGTGGCCGCACCTCTATCACTGGCTGCCTGAGCGACCCTGACCTCGCCAGGACTCAGCTTCCTCAACCATAAAATGGAGACGGCCCAACACTCTGAGCAGGGCGGGGGTGTCACTCCTAGCAGGTGACAGCCCCCAGTGTTCTGCGGGTACTCACACCCTGCACTCAAACCTTCCAAGCATCCTCCCGGTGGAACATTCTCTCCATTCCTACCTCTGGTTAAGAGCAGGGCCTCCTCCACATCCCCTCTTCCTCGTCTCCGGGGACCATCTGTCTTAGCACTCGTGCCAAGCACAGGCCTGACATACAGTAGGTGCTCAACGAAGGCTCGCAGACATAAGGAACGAACGCCATCCCCCAGGGCGCTGCACACACATGTGGACACCCCCAACACCTCACTGCCCCCGCCCACCCGAGCAGCCCTGGACCTCAGTGGAACCACCTGGAGGTGCCGGGCAGGGCAGCCGGGGAGGGAGCGGGGGGGCTGGGTGCGGAGGGAGGGGGTAGGGGGCAGCTGGGATGGCTCAGGGGCAGGCGGGGGGCAGGTGGTCCCTGTGGCTCAGTAGCCCTGCGACTGGTAGCCCTGAGGCTCGGGCTCGAAGGCGCTGGCCGGCTGCTGGTAGGTGCCGCCCATGCTCGTGGGCTCTGGCCCGGTGTTGGGCTCCACGTACGGGGCGTAAGGCATGCTGGAGTCTTGGCTGGGGTCCATGTAGTCCTGGGAGAAGAGGGCCGAGTCGGCGCCAATCTGGTACCTCTGGAAGGCCAGCACAGCCTGGCCTGCCTGGGGACGGGGGTTGGTGGGGACAAGGACAGGCAGGGGGGGGGGGGCGGTTAGGGGAGAGACAGACAAGAGCACTGAGTTAGTAGAGGTTAGTCCACGGGACACGGACAGTAGACGGTTAAATATCCTCAAAACACGCTTGAGGGGGGATGGAGGAAAGCTGTCCTCACAAGCCAACCCAGAACCACACTGTCCAGCCAGTAAGAACTTCGGAGATCACCTGCCTGATGACCCTAAAGCCAAAGGTTACTGAGGGTCAAAAAAAATTCTAGAGTATCCACTCTGGAGTATTAAAATGGCCTAAGCCCCATAATATTCTTCTCCAACTGTGTTCTTAGGATGTTAGATGGGATGGAAAAAAAAATTTCTTGGCGGGACATAGAAATGTTGGCCTCTCCTAAAAGTTATTTGGTCCCTCTTGCAGCTAGGCATAGCCATATGACTAAGCCCAAGCCAATGGGTGGGCCCCAAGTTCCCTGTCTCACCCTTTGACTTGATGCCTGGAACGCAGATGTGAGAGCTGGTGCTCTAGCTGCCATAATGGACCATTAGGTCCATGAGCCAAACCGTAGGGATGGAAGAGGCCTCAGTCACTAAAGACTTCTGGAGTCACTTATACCAGCCCTGGACTGTCTTCCCAGACTTAAGACTTTTTTTTAGATCACTGCATTTGTGATTTCATTTGTGATTTCTGTCATTTGCTGCTGAATCTAATTCTAACTGAAATGCTTGATCAAATCAGTTTGGGAAACTGAGTTAAACAGAGGACCATAGGAGTCATCAGAACTTTGAATATTTAATGTATGCTGGGATCCCCAAGCAAGCAACCACTTATCTGACCACTGAAGCCCTTTTTACATAGAACTCAGTTGGGAAAGGCTTAGCTATAGCATATATGCATAGGTGGGAAACCCTTTCTAAGTAAAAGCAATTACATTATTATTAAGGACAATAAAACTGATCACTCCAAGCTAGGGAATAAATTAAATCTGTCATTAAAAGACAATGTTTACAGGTTTACGCTGAAAGCCTTCTCCAGAGGTCTTTCCAACCCAGGTCATCTGCCTGTGTGATGGGAAAATGCTTATGTTCTACATATTTCTGTTTGGGGGCCAGGAAGACTGAGGCCTAGAAAAGGGGGGCCTCATGGCAGAGTCAGTGCCAGAACCCAGATCTGACCATAGAGGTCGTGCCCCTTTAGGCCAGCCTTCCTTTTGATCGGCCTGCTGACAAGGCACTAATTCAACCAGGAACCTGAGAGGGCCAGCAGATCAGAGGCAGGGGCAAAAGTGCCAGGGGCCTGGGAAAGGCAGACCAGGCCTCAGGAGGTAGGCTGAGGAAATCAGCAGTAGCCCTCTTATATTTTTCACGATGTTGGTATGAGGTCCTGGCTACAGGGCGCTCAGATGCAAGAGCCTGGGGAAGGGAGGTGGAATGCCCCCTCTCCCACCCAGGGTAGAGGCCATGTCTTCAGCACCCTTGAGCCATCAGCGAGTCCACAAGAGCACAAATGGAATGGATGAATGAGTTCCTGAGAGGAATTTCTGCAGACATGGTCCTCCCGAGCTCCCTGGCTCCACTGCTGTCCTGCACGGAGGCAGAGGGCTAGAGCCGATGACCTTTGCAGATCCTTCCAGGGCGGGGCTCTGGCTACAGACACTAGTGCTCTCTCTGTGGTCACTTCTTCATCCCCGCTGAATCAAGGCCTCCCTAAGCCATCCAGTTCAAAGAGCCACAGACAAGAGCTGTGGAGGGGGTGTGGGCCCCTGCTGGGCCTGGGTGCAGAGGTGAGGCTGGGAGTTCCGCTCAGAGCCCAGGGACCTAGTGGTCCACCTGGCTCTGCTTCTTCAGAGCAGGCGCACTCTCTGCGGCATCTCCACTGCGCAGGGCTTTGCCCCAGGGGCCAGTCTGTGTTCCAGGGCAGCTGAGGGCCCCAGGGAGGGAACCTGTGTAGGACTGGAGGCCAGGGTCCTTTGGAAGATCAGGGATTCACCACACAGGAATCACTCCCAAAGGAGAGGTTATGAAGGTGTCCCTGACTCCTTGAAGAGAATGAATGAATGAACAAAAGAACTGACATTTATTGAGCATCTCTGTGCCAAGCCCTGTGCCAACCTTCGTTTCATCTGCACAACAGTGTGGAGAGGTTGGTTCATGACCACTCCTCAGTCCAGGGAGGTAGACTGAGGCAGAGTGGTGCATGGCTCTGCCCAGGGTCCCACAGCACACAAAAGCACAGCCAGACCAGGGGTCCTCTGCTGTGCCGGGCCAGGCCCCTCTTGGCAGCCAGCCTCCATAGGGACTGTAAAATTGGCCTTCACATTGCAGCTGTGGGAGGGGCTCTCAGCCCACAGCTCAGCACCCTGGCAGCCCTTACGGAGCTACCTCCAGCCTGCGGCAGCGCGTTTGAAAGAGATTTCGGTTTGTCTCTCTTCCCATCCCCAGCCTGTGCGCTCCCGGGGCCAGGAACCACCTCTGATTCATCACTAGGCACAGAACAGTTGCTCAATAAATGTTTACTGAATGAACAGACACATGAAGAATCAACAAAGGAGGTGATGAGGAAGTGGTGAGCCTTAACTGGCCCCTCTAGCCAGCCTTCCACTACCCTGCACGCCCTGGCATCTTGGCTGGTCCAGGCCGTGGGCTGCCCTTCAACCTTGCCACTGGGCATATACTTAGGGCTTCCTGCTTCTGGAAGCTGTGCAGGCCTACGGCTGTGCCGAGGCGGGAAACAGCGTGTTGTATTCCTCCTGGAAGGTAAGGTCCTTGAATCTCCGCACGGCCAAGGCTGCGGTCAGGCTCTGCCAGGAGAGAGCAGGGGTGAGGCCGGCGGGGAAGAAGAAGGGGCAGGCAGAGGCGCCATCAGGGAGGTTGGCTTCAAGGGGGGGCCGGTTGGCACCTGTCAGTCAGCCATTCAGACTCCGCCCCTAGAAGTCCTGGTGACCAATCACTCACTCCTCCTCTGCAAGCCCCGCCCCAGGGGAAAATGGATGTCTAGGTGTCCCCAAAAAGGGGAAGAAATTTGGCCAGGATGGGCCCAGGAAGCGGGCAGGGGAGGCTGGCTGCAGCACGGTCTCACAGGAGTGGCCAGCGCTGGTGCCTACATACAGCGCCGGAGGGCTTCTCCTTGAAGAAGGCCGAGGACAGCTCAAAGGCATGGACGGGAGGGGGTTGCGGGAGGGGAAGGGAGACCCCTTGGGACAGGGGAACGGAGCCCATATGACCCTAGACATCTGCAGGAGGGAGATGGGAGGAAAAAAAAAACGTTGAGAGGACATGGAACCAGTGGGAAGGAGGGGCCAGTCACGCTGTCATGCTGCCTGGCACTGGAGACCACCAGATCCAAAGTCCACAAAGGGGTGACCTCTGGCCAGGGGGGCCCAGAGACATGCTTTTTTTGACCTACATATGTATGTGGAGGTCAAATATATATATGGGTTTTTAACACACAAAGATCAGAATCCACAGAGAAGTTCAGATTCCTGGCCTCCCTGGGAAAACCAGAAGCCCTGGCCTCTGTGGGTCCCTAGTCCTGCTCAGCACAGGGGCCAGGTAGAGGGTGCCCTTTCAGGATGTTGTACCCCTGCCGCCCGGTCCACGCACACCTTCTCGCATTCTGCCTGCCAGATGGGCACCTGTGTTTGTGACCCATCCACTGCAAACCCAATCTCCCCATTTTACAGACAGGAAGACAGAGGCCTGGAACACTAGGGGAAACCCCAAGATTCAACCCAGGACTCCTGACACTCAGTCTCTGCTCCTTCTCAGCCTTGAACCTCAAAGCCTTATCTTCCCATCTAGGCCTCAGCCTTCTCGTCTGTAAAAGGGAACAGTAAATAACTACCTCTCAATGACCAGAGTGGTTAGGAGAGGAATCCGTTCCCACAGGAAGGGTGCCCTGCACCAGAGCCAGGGTCTGCCATCACCCCCGACCATCCTGGCTGGCAAAAGGCAGTGGTCTCCCTCCTCAGGGAGCAGCCCCTCCGTGTGCATTGAGGCGGGAAGCAGTACAGAGACCCTGGCTGGTGCTCAAAGGCCCCCCGCCCGGGAGCCTGGCTAGGGCAGGCCGGTGGGGGCTGGCTGGGCGGTGTACTCACCCACGTGAAGATGGAGAAGAAGGAGAAAGCGATGGCGGCCCGGGCCGCGTCCGTCCCCTCGTTCAGCGGGTTGTCCTTGGGCTCGGAGACCTGCCACTGGTTGGCCAGGAAGCAGAAGGCCACAAACCAGAGGAAGGCCCAGAAGGCTGGGGTGGGAGCAGGGCCAGGCAGCCCATGTTGGGGGAGGGCGGGGGGGAGGAGACGGGAAACCGAGGAACCGGGGAGGTTTGAGGGCGCGTCTCCCACGCTCCCCACCCACAGAGGGAGAGGAGGTGGGGGGTCAGAGCGCAGGGAGCAGGGGGGAACAGAGAGGCCGGCCCGACCCGGAGCAGGAGAGAGAGAGACCCCGGGAAGGAGGCGGCCAGGACCCGAGCAGAGGCAGGGAGGGGCGGGCAGGGAGAGAGGGAGGGACGGGGAGACGAGAGACAGAGAAAAGTCAGTGAGCCTGGGCTGCGCTGCTCTAAGCTCAGCCAGCACAGGCTTCCCGGCTGAATCCCTGACTGACCCAGCCTGAGGCCTGCAGCTCTTCTGTGAGGGGTGGCCACCTGAACCACCCCCCCAACTGGCTGCAGCCTCCCAGAGAACTGGACCGGGGAGGACGAGGGGACCGTCTGTGTGCAGTCCCAAGGAGCCTCGAGGTGACTGAGGGTTCCTTTGAAAATCCAGGTCTGGGAGTTTTAGGGGTGGGAGGCTTGTGAGGACAAGTTCTTCTCTGGATGCCCACAGTCTACCTAGAGAAGCCCAGAGCTGCCCTGGATGAAGAGCATGTGTGCCCAAGGGGTGGCGCCTAGAGCCCAGCCCCTCCCAGAGGCACTGCCGGGGAACCCTGGGGCTCCGTGGAGCACAGTTTGAGAACCACTCACAGCATATTCGTACCTTCAAGTCTGAGGGGCCCCAGGCCTCATTGCCTGCAGAACAGGCACATCCTGAGTGTCCTAGAAGCGGCTGGAAGGGCCCCAGACAGAGACCTGAGAGCCCCAGGCCAGGGACACCGAGCCCGGCTTCCTCCAATCAGTCTCTCGGACTCACGGGGACAGAGGCCAGGGTACCTCTGCCAAAGCCGCTTCTGAAGGTCAAGGGCCGCTCCCCAGCTCCAGGCGTGACCCTGCTAGGGCACCTACTGTGTGCAGGGCCTTTGGCCATCACCCGGCTGAGTTCTCAAGGGGCTCCACCAGGGAGGGGGGCCAGAGGAGGCCAGTGAAAGCAGAGGAAACCCCTCCAGACATTGTGTTCCTACTCTGACATGAGCTGTGGGCTGTCTTGGGGTCTCGGGCCCCGCCCTGGTCTTACACGACCCTGCTGCCAGCCTTGTGTCCCCAAATCTGTCCCTTTACAAGTGTCTGCACCTCAGTTTCCCCATCTGGAAAATGGGCAGAAGGGTGGCAGCCACCTCCCAGGTGTGTGAGGCTGAGCAGGACCACGGCCGGGACAGCCCCCTGCAGACTCTGTGCTGCTGGTGGGGGGAGGGGGGGGCGCAGTGCCCACTGGGGTGGGGCTCACCCGAGACGCCAATGTCTGACAGGACGGCCTTCTTCCGGTCCTTGACGCTGCTTATCTGGGGGAAGTACACGTCCAGGGCCAGGTAGAGCAGGCAGGTGAGGAAGGCGAGCACGCCCACGGTCACGCCGTAGCCGCAGGCGTTGGGGTTGCGGTTGTAGATGCAGAACTCCTCGCTTTCCGAGGGGCTGTTGAGATAGCCCTCATTCACGATGGAGCCGAACACCACGATGGAGAAGACCTGCAGTGATGGGGAGGAGCGGGGGTGGCCGTGAGACCCGGGGAGGCCCTTCCAAGGACCAGCCCGGGGGGGTGGGGGAGGGCTACCAACCCCCACGCCAGCTGCCTGCCCCTCTGTGAGCCCTCTTCACCCCAAAAAGTCACAGGGCTGGGGTGAGGCAGGCAGGTCAGAGGGGGAGGCCCAGAGAGGGAGGGAAACTTGCTTGGGGTCACACAGCACACTTCCTTCTTCAGCTGGAGGCACTGAGGACCGCCCCCGACCAGAATCGATGTGGCCCCACTCCCCTTCCAGCCAGGTGCTAAGAGGCTTTCCTGGGTCCTGACACCAAGGTTCCTCTAGGACTGGACCCAGCCTCCCAGAAGAAGCCGTCTCAACCTTCCAGGTGGTGAACTGCCAAGCCAACAAGCCCCTGGCTGATTCTGGCATGAGCCAGCGCCATCATGGGTTCTGTGGAACGACAGGGTGTTCTGGGATCTCAGGCCCTGTCCTTGGTCCCACCCTTCCCTGATGCCCAGGCGCTGACAAGCAGAAAGAATGACAAATTAACAAATACACCAGTTACAACCCTGTCAATTACAGGGCAACCTGCAGGACCCTAAGTGTAACAGATGTTACCTCCTTTAACGCCCCCAACAACCTCCAAGCCAGGTCTATTTCAGCTGAGTTGACCGCCAGCAGGGGGTGGTCCCTCCTGACCCTACCTCCTGGTATCTACATCCTTGTGCTATCTCCTTCTCCTTGACTGCGGGCTGAGCCTAGCGAGTTGCTTCTAAACAGAACAGAGTATGGCAGGAAGAGACGGGATGTCACTTGTGTGAGATTACAAAGACCCAGCCTCGGTCAAGCTCATCCTTTCCAGCCCCTCCTTGCTCGCTGTGAGGGAAGCGGCTGCCAGCTTTGAGCTGCTTATGGAGAAACACACGGACGTGGAACTGAGGGAGGTCTCCAGGCAACAGCCAACAGGGAACTCAGCCCACAAGGAGTCAGTCCTGCCAGCACCGTGTAAGTGAGCGTGACGACAGAGCTACCCTCAGCCTTCAGATGAGACCACAGCCCTGGCCAACACCACGATGTGCGAGGCAGTGGCACCTCACTAAGCAGGTTCCTGGTCACGAAAACTGTGAGAATACAAGCGCTTTTGTTGTTGTTGTTTTTCACATGTGCTTTATTTATTTGGCTGCATCGTCTTAGTTGCGGCATGCAGGATCTTGGTTACCGCGTGCAGGCTTCTCTAGTTTTGGTGTGCAGGCTTAATGGCTGCACTGCATGTGGGATCTCAGTTTCCTAACCAGAGATTGAACCAGCGTGCTCTGCATTGGAAGGCGGAGTCTCAACCACTGGACCACCAGGGAAGTCCCCGAACATTGCTTGTTTTAAGTCATTACATTTGGGGGTGTGCTGTTGAGAGAGTCAATTCCTAGGCAGATTGATAAGAAGCCCAGGGGTCCCCAAGGAGAGAGGGGTCTGGAATTCTCAAGGAGGAAGAAAGGACAAACTTTTTTTGTCCCTCTACGTTCCTTAGGATTATATAACAATAATGTATCCTGCTTGAGGACAGTCTCTGGAAAAAACCTTCTGGCTAATCTTGTTATCTTAAGGTGTAAATTATGGCAGTAGGTCTAGTGAGGTCTTTACAACCTCCGGACATTCTTTTGATTCACTGTAATAACTAATTAGAGAGTATATAACTCCATGACTAACACTAGCAAGGGGGTACTCTTTCTGCCTTCTTCTGATGCCTATGTCAGAAGCTTTCTCTATCTCCTTTATACTTTAATAAAACTTTATTACACAAAAGCTCTTAGCAATCAAGCCTCGTCTCTGGCCCTGGATTGAATTCTTCTCCTCCGGAGGCCAAGAATCCCAGCGTGTTTGCATGGTTCAGCAACAACCTTTCATCTTGGGGGCTCATCCAGGATTCTTCAGGACAAGGTAAGGATGCTTGGAGCTCTAGTTACACAAAGCTCTGAGCGATCAAGCCTCGTCTCTGGCCCCGGATTGAATTCTTCTCCTCCGGTCTACGGCCATACCACCCTGAACGCGCCCGATCTCGTCTGAATTCTTCTCCTCCGGAGGCCAAGAATCCCAGCGTCTTTTCATGGTTCAGCAACAACCTTTCACTGTGATGCAGCAGCAGCTAAGGAACACAATCACTATCATTGGTGTTTTGCAGATGAAACAGGGAAGGTGAAGGTGTTAGTTTATGTGCCCAGAGTCACACAGCTGGGACGTGAAAGAGCTGGCTTCAAATCCAGTGACCTGATTCTGAACTCCAAGCTTCTTCCTCCTGCCTCTCACCTCTCCTGAAACTCTGAGGATGAAGAGGCCCACCCACAGTCAATGGCCAAACACACAGACAGGAAGACAGAGCCTCAGATGTGGCCTGCAGTGAGCTTGAGGTGAAGCTATATAGGACTTTTTTTTTTTTTAACTTTATTTCATATTGAAGTATAGCTGATTCGGGGCTTCCCCGATGGTTCACTGGGTAAAGAATCTGCCTGTGATGCAGAGAGACGTAGGAGACACAGGAGACGTAGGTTTGATCCCTGGGTTGTGAAGATCCTCTAGAGTAGGAAATGGCAACCCACTCCAGTATTCTTGCCTGGAGAATTCCATGGACAGAGGAGCCTGGCAGGGTACAGTCCATGGGGTGGCAAAGAGTCAGACACGACTGAGCGACTAAGCACATAGCTGATTAACAAGGTTGTGTTAACAAGGCTGTGACAGTTTCAGGCGGACAGCAGAGGGACTCGGCCATACATACACATGTATCCACTCTCCCCCAAACTCCCCTCCCATCCAGGCGGTCACATGACAGAGCTCCCTGTGCTATACAGTCTTTGCTGGTTATTCATTTTAATGCAAAGGATTTTAATTGCCCATTTCCCACTTTGCCTGCCAATTTTTCCACAATAAGGAACTATAATTTCACTGTGAACCAGATACATTTTTGCCCTTAGCTAACACCTGGGAAGGGTAGAGACTCCATAGCAGGTGTGAGAAAAAATATGAGAAGCATCATTTTTCTAGCTGTATCTTTAAGATGTCTACACATGGATTTTATAATGTACTAGATACATCAGTATAGTAGTAATATATATATAAAACAAATCTACATTTTTATTAAAGTATAATTGTATATTATACAAGTATATAATATATACTTGTGATTCTGTTTTTAAAGCTTATACTCGATTTATAGTTATGATAAAATATTGGCTACAATCTCCACAATGTACAGTAAATCCTTGTAGCTTACTTTATACCTAAGTTTGTACCTCTTAATCACCAACCCCTGTATTGCCCCTCCCTGCTGGTAACCACAAGTTTATTCTCTGTATCTGTAAATTTCCTTCTTTTTTGTTGTATTTACTAGTTTGTTGACTTTTTAGACTCCATATATAACTGATATACAGTACTTGTCTTTGTCTGACTTATTTCACTTAGCATAGTACCCTCCAAGGCTATTCATGTTGCTGTAAATCACAAATTTTCCTTCTTTTTTAAGACTGAGTAGTATTCCATTCCAAGACGGATTTAGAAAAGGCAGAAGAACCAGAGATCAAATTGCCAACGTCCGTTGGATCATCGAAAAAGCAAGAGAATTCCAGAAAAATACCTACTTCTGCTTTATTGACTACACCAAAGCCTTTGACTGTGTGGATCACAACAAACTGCAGAAAATTCTGAAAGAGATGGGAATACCAGACCACCTTACTTGCCTCCTAAGAAATCTGTATGCAGGTCAAGAAGCAACAATTAGAACTGGACATGGAACAACAGACTGGTTCCAAATTGGGAAAGGAGTACATCAAGGCTGTATATTGTCACCCTGCTTATTTAACTTATATGCAGAGTACATCATGCGAAATGCCAGGCTGGATGAAGCACAAACGCATCAAGATTGCCAGGAGAAATATCAATAACCTCAGATATGCAGATGACACCACCCTTATGGCAGAAAAGGAACTAAAGAACTCTATGAAAGTGAAAGAGAAGAGTGAAAAAGCTGGCCTAAAACTCAACATTCAGAAAACTAAGATCATGGCATCTGGTCCCATCACTTCATGGCAAATAGATGAGGAAACAATGGAAACAGTGAGAGACTTTATTTTTTCAGGCTCCAAAATCACTGCAGATGGTGACTGCAGCCATGAAATTAAAAGACGCTTGCTCCTTGGAAGAAAAGCTATGACCAACCTAGACAGCATATTAAAAAGCAGAGACATTACTTTCCCAACAAAGGTCTGTGTAGTCAAAGCTATGGTTTTTCCAGTGAGTGAAGTCGCTCAGTTGTGTCCGATTCTTTGCAACCCCGTGGACTGTAGCCTACCAGGCTCCTCAGTCCATGGGATTTTCCAGGCAAGAATACTGGAGTGGGCTGCCATTTCCTTCTCCAGGGGATCTTCCCAACCCAGGGATCGAACCCGGGTCTCCCGCATTGTAGACAGACGCTTTACCATCTGAGCTACCAGGGAAGCCCTATGGTTTTTCCAGTAGTCATGTACAGATGTGAGAGTTGGACTGTAAAGAAAGCTGAGCGCCAAAGAATTGATGCTTTTGAACTGTGGTGTTGGAGAAGACTCTTGAGAGTCCCTTGGACACCAAGAAGATCCAACCAGTCCATCCTAAAGGAAATCAGTCCTGAGTATTCATTGGAAGGACTGATGCTGAACTCCAATACTTTGGCCACCTGATGCAAAGAACTGACTCCTCGGAAAAGACTCCAATACTGGGAAAGATTGAAGGCAGCATGAGAAGAGGATGACAGAGGATGAGATGGTTGGATGGCATCACTGACTTGATGGACATGAGTTTGAGTAAGCTCCAGGAGTTGGTGATGGACAGGGAAGCCTGTTGTGCTGTAATCCATGGGGTCGCAAAGAGTCAGACACAACTGAGCGACTGAACTGAACTGAGTATTCCATTGCATATATATACCACATCTTCTTTATCCATTCATCTGTTTTTCTTTTTTAATATTTATTTTTATTTATTTA